ATAATAGATTACATTGAATTGGGCAGACGGAATGAAGGGACATGAGGATAAGGGAGGGGATCTAAATATCATCTCATTATATTGTACTACAATCCCAAAAAAATCAATAAAAAGCCTAACTTCTCAGCAATTCTAATTTTTTCCTTGTTCCCTCCTCCCCATTTCCTCCCTTCCGCACTCTCCCCCTTCTTCATTCCTCTCTTCTTTCTCTGCTTTTCTTTTCTATTCCTTCCTTTTGTACTTTCTCACTGCTGTAGTGAGACTATTCACATCATTTCCTAACATTTTGGTACTGAAGAAATCTGTATTTGTTCATTTCTCCCATTCAAACACTCGCTTTAAACATTTATCATTTCTGATACTTATTCAGCAGTTAATATGATTTTCCATCAAGATAATCTTATCACCGACACATATTTCTAAAAAGTAAAAAACAAAAAGCAATCTTTTTTTTTTCCCTAAGGTTTAAACCTAATGTAATTTCCCAGATAAGAACACTGCCTGTTATTTAGGGAGCACGGCAATAACAACAAAATTAAACTACCTGTCCAGCTTTATTCTAAAATTTAATGTGGGTCCCTTTAAGGGCTTAAGGTTTCAAGGTATGGCTGGCTTACATTATTTGTTTTGTTTTTGCCATCTCTAGTTCACTTTGGGAGGCTTCAATGAAGAAAGTCAACTGCTTCAATTGTGTCCAAGGCCTTGACAAGACTTCTGTGTGCTAAGTTTTCTCTACTTATTAATAGTGGAACTCAAAGTACAGAATGTATCATTCTCTGCACATGACCTCCATTATCAACAAAATCTTCTGCACACACCATGCTTTTCCATTCATGACTTGATCTTATGTTAACTCCCATGCCAAAGTAATGTCAACTGTTATGGAGAAGCCTCTTGGTTTTGAGTTTGTTCTAAGAAAATTAGAAACAAAAATATAATTAGATATAGAAGTTGCTGGGTTTTCTTTAACTGCTAAGCTCTTTTCTTCATTGATACTTTAATAATGGAATACTAAATATTTAAATGCCTTAAGAGTTGGTTAGGGCGCTTTCTGCCCAAGAAGAAATGAATAACTCTGAAGTTACTTGGTCCACTTGAAGCTTCTAGTTCTATGCTACTTGACTGGGTGCTCCAGGAATTGCCAAGGCCTTTGGATAGAAGGATCTCTACCTTAAACACTGTAAAACAGTGGAGAAAGGGGAAAAAAGCTTTTTTTTATGTAGACGCTAGACAAGCCAAAAGATAATGTGTGAAATATTGAAAGCATTATTAGAAAACCTCAACCAACCTACCTACTCTCCATAAAATTATGCTTCAAACTAGGATAAACCAAGGGAATTAACTGATAACATATGCACGTTTTTTGAAAAGTTAAGCAACTTTCTTCCTGGCAGAGGAAAAGTATGTCAGAAATTAAGGTCTACATGAATAGGTGAGATGCATTAAGGAAAGAATAATCTAAGGCAAAAGAAAATATCAAATTTTTCCATCCAACCTAAAATATAAGGGCAATAATAACAGATGAACAATGAAAAAAGTAGCAGCAATTACTGCTCCCATGGTTGTCCAAAGATTTCATGTTCAAAACTTTAATAACTTAGATGAAATAGGTTAATCATTTAAAAGGCAGAAATTAATAATTTTATGTAAGACTCAGCAGATACATCTCTAGCTCTCATAGTTCTGGAGGACATTATGCAAACTGCTAAGGGAAAAAACCAACCAATGGGGTGGGGGTGGGGGTGAAGCCTAAAGCCTAATAACCGTAACTCCTGGCGTAGCAAACTACCTCTGTTGGTACAGTAGTGGCACTGTTGTGTGTAGGTAATCCACAGCTCTCTAATTGGATGTAAAGTCCTCACAGTGGGAGTGAACTCATGGGTGGCAACATAAGCAAAGCCAAATATTCATGACTGGAGAGTCATAGATCCTAGAGAAAACCCTATCTATGTCATTATCTTTGCTCTTGCAGAGGACCTGGGTTTAATTTCAGCACCCACATGACAGCTAGCAATGCCTGCACATATGTATGTAAGTGCACCTGTGTTGTGCAATGTCCACATGGTTCTGAAGAGGTCTTCAGATGCCCTGGAACTGGAGTTATGGATGGTTATTAGCTGCCATGTGGGTGCTTGGAATCAAACCTGGCTCTTCTGCAAGAATAGCCAGTGTTCTTAACAACTGAGTCATCTCTCCAGCCCCTTGATATATATATTTCATTGATTTGTTGTTCATTTCATGCATTTTATTCATATTTAGACCTCCTCCCCTATCTGTATTCCCCCATAGACCCCCACCGGATTTCATTAATTCTGTCTTGTCTTTTTTTAAGCCTAGTCAAGTCTAATTTGTGATTCCAAATTGCTCTTGGATGTGGGTCTACTTCTTGGAGTTTTGTCATCCAACCAGGTGATACACCAGTAAGGAAAACTGACACTCCA